CTGTGCCCTTCTTAGTTATGCACCCCTGTCTGTCCAGCTTTTCCTCCATCTGAATGCTGCCACTCTGGTGCCCCATGGCCAATTGCTCCATGGGGTGTATCTCTGTAGAGTAGGTGAGTGCATTGCCCTGGCTTGGATGTTCTGTGTGTAAGTCTTTCTGCTGTTGAGCTGAGAACCAGTCCTTGGGAATGAGTCCTATCCCAGGCCTGAAGGGTATCGTAGGGCCATGGTCATGGAGATCCCACCAAACTCCATCCAACCAGTAATTCTGGCCATTATTGTGTTTTTGAGTTTTGTTCCACATTATTCCTCCCACTCTATCAAGGATCTCCAGTTTTGATCTCATGGTTGACATTGGTAGCCAGGCACCATCTAGTTCTGGTCTCGAGGTCCTTTATATCCTTAGAGTGATTATTTCCAAATGCCCTTGATTTTCTTCACTCTTCTTCACTTCAGACGAGAGGAGACCATTAGCTGCATCTTAGATGACTGCTCGAAAGCTTTTAAGACCCCAGTTGCTACTCACCAAAGTAGGTTGTGGAACAAGATTTTTATGTACCATGTTGTGCCAATGGAACCCAGTGTCCCCCAATACCGTGGTCCTGAGTCAGCAAGCCTGGTGGTTCTCTCTCCCAATGTGTTTGGCTGTCTCTGAGAGATTATCCCAACTCTGTCTTCTGTTGCTTCTGTACTGATTGTGGTTATTTTGTATCATTATTATCTATGCAAGATTATCTTCAGCTAAATCTATCATTGGTCTAGGGTAGTTCCTGTTCGCCAGCCCCCACCTGATCTTCTCACTTGTCCATGCATTTAACTGTAGCCTGGTGTTTGGTGTTAGTGGTAATGCAGTATTGCACATATACTAGTATTTGCCTCTGTTGTCTATATCTTACGTGCACGTTATGGTGTCTTCCCTTTCCCCAGTGTTATCATGCTGGTTACAGACTCTTTCTGTACCATCCCTTCCCTTACCCAAATCAACATGTGGCCCCCAACTAGTCCAGAAAATTTCCCTCCTCTTCCCTTCCATCCCCAGTAACCTATAAAGTGAGTTCCTTTCCCTAAGCAAACCTTTCCTTGACTTTTTACAGTAATGGGCTTATAGAATATTTGCCCTTCTGTGATTGACTTATTTCACTCATCATAATGTCCTCCACATTTGACCACTTTGTGAGATGATTCTTGTATTTTCATTGTTCCTTAATGTAGCATAGTATACCATTGTGTGAATGTACCATAATTCGGCTATCCATTCATCTGTTGATGGGCATTTAGGTTGTTTCTATCTCTTTGCTATGGTGAATTGTGCTGTGATGAACATGGGTATGCATATGTCTCTTTGTGTCCTGTCTCTCACCTCTTTAGGATATATTCCTAGTAATGGAATTGCTGTTTCAAATGGTATTTCTATTTTTAGTTTTTAAAGGAAATGCCATACCATTTGCTAGGAACCATTTTAGATATTAACAGTATCTATGAAAAGCAAAGCTATTCCCACCCTTATTTTCCAACCTTGGATAAAGCCTGTTCTTAGCAATTCAAAGGTTTGGAATTTATCCTACTGATATATTGGAATAGGTGAAAATCAGTATATGTATAGGAATATTCATGATTGTTTGTGGACCCAACCATAATGTTCATTAGTAAGGGAACAGTTAACTAAATTTTGGTTTATCTATATTGTGGGATACCACATAATTAATAGCAAGACTTAGGTATACCTGTATGTACTGGTGAAGAAGGGTCTCCAAGATATGTTGATAGATCATTGAATAAAGCAAGTCACTAAATTATATGTAAATTCTTAAAATTCATATGCTCACACACACACACACACACACACACACCTATTTAAATTAATAGAGAGATTTCTGGAAAGACATATACCAAGCTGTGATCTGTGGTTATCAATGAGATGGTAGTAGGCTTAGGTGTTTGGAGGGAAACTTACTATACCACACATACTTTTCTGTTATTTGATTTTTTCTTTTAAATGAAACGCCTCAATTTCTGTGTCACTTTTGCACATACACACATTAGTTGAACTGTTTTTAACTAACTTTATTTAGTTGGAATTCACATACCATACGATTCATCCTCCTAAAGTGTAAAATTCAATGGCTTCTAGCATATTTCTAGAGTTGTGCCATAATTACTACAACAATACAAACAATTTCATCACTCCAAAATACAACCCTGTAACCCTAGTTATCGGGAGCTCTGGTAGCATAGTGCCTAAGGCACTTGACTGCTCACCAGAATGCTGGCGGTTCAAACCCTCCAGCCACTCCTTGGAAGGAAGGTTGGGCAATCCTACTTCCATAGTGATACTGCCTTGGAAACCCAAGGAGGGGTCACTATGAGTCGGGGCTGACTCGACAGCAAACAAGAACAACAACAACCCCTAGTTATCACCCCACAATCCCTTCATCCTTCTAGCCCTAGGTAACCACTAATCTATGCCACTACAGATTTGCCTAATCTGAATTATTCATGTAAATAGATTTATGCAATATGTAGTTCTTTGTCACTGGCTCTTTTTACTTTGTAGAATGTTTTCAAGGTTCATGCATGTTGTATTATGAATCCATTCATTCATTTCTTTTTTTATAATTGAATAGCATTCCGTTCTGTGGATATGTCACATTTTATTTATATATTTATCAGTTGATGGACATTTGAGTTGTTTTCTACTTTGTGGCTATTATAAATAATTATAAATATATAATATTTATATAAAATACATATACATATATAAAAATAATTATAAATATTTATATAAAATTATAAATAATGGTGCTATAAGTATTTTTTGTTCTGACATGTTTTTAGGTCTTTTGGGTAATTCCTATCAGTGGAATTGATGAATCTATGCATTCTGTGCTTAGCTCTTTGAGGAACTGCCAGATTGTTTTTCCAAAAATGCTTAAGGGATCCAATTTCTACATAGCCTCGTCAAAGCTTATTATCATTGTCTTTTTGATGATAGCCATCCTTGTGGGTGTGAGATGATTTTAATTTGCATTTCCCTAAGGACATTGAAACCCCATGGGTCAGTTCTACGTTGTCTTACAGAGTATCTATAAATCAGAATCAATTTGGTAGCAAGGAGTTTCCTTTGGTTTGACTTAATGATATGGAGCATCTTTTTCATGTACTTATTAGCCATTTGCATATCTTCTTTGGAAGAATGTCTATTTAGATCCTTTATGCATTTTTAAATTGTTTTATTTGTGTTTTTATTATTAGGTTGTAAGTGTTCTTTATGTATTTTAGATAAAAAGCCTTTTATCAGATATATGAATTGCAAAATTTTCTCTTATTTTGTGGGTTTTCTTTTTACTTTCTAAATGATGTCCTCTCATGCACGAAAGTTTTTTATTTTGACAGTGTCCATTTTTCCTATTTTGTTGCTAAAAATGTATATATTTGAACTATGGGTAAGCACTTAAAAATTAAGTGGTATATTTTACTCAAAGCAGGGAGTACAGGAAAGCCAAACTGAAACAGGGGAGATAGAGGATGACTATAGAGACCCACCCGTCACTCCAGAGAAGCAAGACTGGGCAATCTACTTCCATAAAGATTTACCACCTTGCAAACCAGAGAGTGTTGGTGTTGCTATGAGTCGGAATCGACTTGATGGCAGTGGGTTTTTTTTTTTTTTTCCAAATAGAGATCCTTTGGAGATTATAAAAGAACTTTACAAGATTAGAGGTTGGTGAAACTGGTTTTAATTTTACTAAAATTTAATCAAAATCTACAGCCTCCATTTCACCTGATCTCAGAATAATGTTAGTGTAACCATTATGTTTATATGAGTTGATAGGAGGATATTTTTTGTTTTGCCAGATTTTCATGATGGAAAAACAGGGATATAGTTTTCAAAAGAGTTTTTAATCTCTGGAAGTAGAAGACAGATAATGCAGACAGTGGAAGATGATGGACTGGAAACTAAAAACCAAACTCACGGCCGTTGAGTTGATTCCAACTCACAATGACCCCCATTGGGTTTCTGAGGTGGTGGTAATCATTACAGAAGTAGATTGCCCCATCTTCCATAGTGATACCACCTCAGAAACCAAGGAGGGGTTGCTATGAATCAGATCCGACTTGACAGCAGTGAATTTTTTTTTTTTTTTAGTTTCTTCCTTGGATTGCCTGGTGGCTTTGAACTGCCAACCTTCTGGTTAGCAGTCAAATGCCTTAGGCACTGCACCACCTCCTTTCATGAACCGGAGGTGGTGGAATAAAGCTGAATTTGGGTTGAGTAAGAAACTAGCGAAACTGGTTGTTTAAATGGAAATTCCGTTGTAATGGTGGATTTGCTGTTTTGGAAGCTCATTCATGGTTGACATTAACAAAAAGCTAGAGATAAGATTGCCAAAGAGATCATCCTCAGTGTGCAGTTACTTTTTGGTTCCTCAGCGTCTTTAAGACAGGTTATTTTCTCTGAGAAACATGTTAGATCCACAAGGTACTTTGGCTCTCATACATCTACTATATCTTTGGGACTATATTTTCAGAGAAGAGGCAATGTGAGTAGTTGTATATTGAAAGCATTACAAACAACTCCCACACAATCATGAGGTGGGAGCCCTATGTCAAGGGTAGCTTAAGAGACAGTGGTTTTATTTAATAATAAACTGTCATTGTATGGTATGACTTTGGGTATGAATGTAACCTATTGTTGTATTATCAGAAGGTTGAAATGTAGAATAAAGAAAATGATTCCTTTGCTCTACTTTTCTCTTGCCAGATTACAGCAACAATGGAATGCACCATCTTATAAAGTGCTAAATTTTGTAGCACTGAAGTGTTCCAACTAAAGTAACATGATTATCTGCTAAGGACCTGACAAATGGGATTCTAGAAATCATTGATAGTGATTGGGGCAAATCCAAAGCCTTCTAATTTTGAATTTCATAATTCTGTAGTCCATACACACCATTGTTTATCATACAATGTAAAAAAAAAAAAAAAAGAAGAGACAAACTATGAGAGAGACAAAACAGACACAGGTTACTGAATTCTTCTTCCTGGGACTGTCTGATGATCCAAATACCCAGATATTGCTCTTTGTTTTTTTCCTGACTGTCTACCTGGTCACAGTACTTGGAAATCTGCTTCTTATATCCCTTGTTCAGATGGACTCTCAACTTCACACACCCATGTATTTTTTTCTCTGCAATTTGTCTTTGGCTGGTCTCTGTTTCTTGACCAACATTGTTCCTCAGGCCCTTATTCACCTGTTATCCAGGAAGAAGTCTATTTCTTTCATATGTTGTGCAGCTCAGCTTCTACTTTTTCTCATTTTGGGGGGTACACAGTGTGCTCTTCTGACAGTGATGTCCTATGATTGATATGTGGCCATCTGTAATCCTTTGCATTACTCTAATGTTATGACCAGGAGGTTGTGTGTCTACTTGGGCACAGGGTCATGGACCACTGGCATTATGGCGTCTCTTGTGGACTTCATCATCACAATAAGGCTACCATACTGAGGCAGCAATAAAATTGCTCATTTCTTTTGTGAGGCCCCTGAACTGTTGGTCCTGGCATCCATAGACACCCATGCTATACAGATGTCCATTTTCCTTGTGGTGGTGGTGGTCCTCCTCATACCTCTTTCTCTAATTTTGGTATCATATGGCCATATTATAATGACTGTGATCAGGATGAAATCAGCTGGTGGGAGACTCAAAGCATTCTCTACCTGTGGCTCCCACCTTTTGGTGGTCATCCATTTTTTATGGGTTAGCAATTATCACCTACATGACACCAAAGTCCTGCCTAGAGCAAGAAAAAATAGTGTCTGTGTTCTATTCAGTGGTGACCCCCATGCGTAACCCTCTCATCTACAGCCCGAGGAACAAGGATGTGAAGGGAACTCTGAGAAGAGTAGCCATAAGAATTTTCTGATGCAGGCTTGGGATCTACCACTGATAGTGAGCTCAGAGACCCTGCCTACTTGTAAGACTTGATGAATAGTTGTCTTCCTAGTGAATCTGGAATTTGATAAGATTTTTCATCTTTAGGTCTCGTCCTTGGAACAAGCCTCCATATTCTTCATCTAGGATTTCCTTCGTAAAAGAAGGACAATAACTCATGGAGCAATAAGAAGTTGTGTTTGCTGCCTTCTCGTTGGTTCTTTGGCATTTAAGAGTGAGGAAATCTCTGGAGAAGCAATCACAGTTTATAAACCCTGGAACCTGTAAAATCTATCTTTTAAATTCTGCTGTATATTACCATCTGTCTGTCCCATATCCCAATATAACCCCTTTATTTTTTGGTATTTCTGAATCTCTTTGAATCAAATGATCAAAAATTGACAAATGTTGTTAAGTGCTGTCCAGTTTATGCTGACTCATAGTGGCCCAATGTGACATAACAGAACTGTCTTATCAGGTTTACGAGACTCTAATCTTTATGGGAGGAGATTGCCAGGACTTTCTCCTGAATAGTCACTGTGTGGGTTTGAACCACCATCATTTTGGTTAGCAGTTGAGCCCTTAACTATTGTACCACCAGTGCTCCATTAGTGAACATTAATCACTTACTATGAGCTAGATGCTCTGTGTGTGTGTGTGTGTGCGTGTAAGCTTAATGTGGGTAGTGGAGAGTCTGGATATAATGAAGCAGAATATATGACCTGTGCTGTCCTTCTCACACTCTTCTTAGAAACATGAGTATTGATTCTATCAGAATACACCTTTATAGAAATGAAGACAGGACATGAATCAATAACATACCCCAGCACTAGCCAGAGCAAGCAGCTGTTACAAATCCTACCCTTGAAGGACCAAGGGGAGGGAAATGAGACCTGAAGAAGGCCACCCGATACAGGTATATAGAGGTGAGGAAACCATGGGAAAAAATATTTAAAGCTTATTCTCTGTCCACCTTCTGCTCCCTGCTATTGTATTTCAACCAGGAGCCAGAAAGCAAGGACACCTGTTGGTACAATCCGTAAAAGTAAGCTTTCTGAGGTACATCTGAAAGTGGAAAGAGGTAGAGATTGGGTCTAAAATAGCAAACATAAGCTGCAGACTACCTCTTTTACTCTCATCATCCACTTGTTCTTTTTCTGGTGATTAATTCATGTCCTCAATACAGGGAACACATAAAACTTCATTAGCAATTCTATCAGGGCAATGTGATGTCATTTAGATCACGCTCCTATTTGACATCTAAAATAATAGCTCAAACTAGGACTATTTACATAAGGAAGTTGTGGGAGAAATAGGTAAAAAGCATACAATTAATAGGAAACAGCTGCTATAGTTCCTAATTCTGGTCACTGGGCCTAAGTTGATAATGATAACTTCTTTCTTTTCACTACCCTTTAACAGTTTTCTTATTTCCTGCCAGCACCTCTGTTTTGGTTACTTTGTGCTACTCTTAACAGAAAATACCACAAATGGGATGGCTTTAACAAATAGAAGTTTATTTTCTTACAGTTTTGGGGCCTAGAAGCCTGAGATCAAAATGCCAAGCTCTAGGGGCTGAATGAAAGCTCCTTGATCTTAGTCTTCAGCTCTGCCTCTTGCTCCCAGCCCACTGGTGCTTGAGGTGTTTCTTCATTTAGGCAGCTCCTGGCTGCTGAAACTAACAAACCCAAGGTCAACAAATAAAGTAGCACAGTCCCAAAATTACCACACAATGTGGCAGGTCACTAGTTCAAGTCCAGAGACAGTCTCAAGATCAGCGGGAAACATGGCAGGCTGCTGAATGAAGACTCGCTACATGCAAGGTCTGAGTGTGCCAAAAAGCTACAGACCTTTCTTGACCCTTCTTCCTGCATACTGGAAGCAGACCACATCCCTAAGGCAGCTACTCAACTGTTCTAGTAGATTCCACCATGGAGTTGATTACCAGTATTATCATGGGGAATAACTACATCCAGCTGCCCAGCCACTCAAAACTAGGCCCAGTTAAGTTGACACATAACCTTACCCACCACAACCTCATCTGGCGGGGGTTCTTTACCTGGTATGTTGTTGTTGTTGTGCTTCTTGGAATAAACTGAAACTCACTGCCGTCGAGTCAGATCCAACCCATGGTGACCTCTCCTTGGGTTTCTGAGGCAGTATCACTGTGGAAGTAGATTGCCCCACCTTGCTTTCAAGGAGTGGCTGGTGGGTGGTGACCAAAAATTTCTTTCATATTAGATTTGAATTCTTAGTGATCCTTTTTTATTGGATTCCCGCAGTTTCCCTTTGACCAGGGCTAGTGTTAAAGGGGATGTCATTGGATGGTGCAAACAGTTAATGCATTTGTCTGATAACTGAAAAAATGAAGGATCTAGTCCACCTATAGGCACCTTGGAAGAAAGACCTGGCTTATCTATTTCTGAAAAATCAGCCACTAAAAACCCTACGGAGTGCAGTTCTACTATGACCCATTTGGAGCTCTGGTAGCATAGTTTCTAAGGCACTTGACTGCTAACCAGAAGGCTGGCGGTTCAAACTCACCAGACACTCCACAGAAGGAAAGTTGGGCAATCTACTTCCGTAGCGATACCGCCTCAGAAACGCAAGGAAGGGTCTCTATGAGTCAGGTCTGACTCGATGGCAAATAACAACACAACAACATAGGTTAGAAACAATTTGTCTGCAGCTGATTTTTTTTTTTTTTTTTTTTTGCTAAAAGAAGGTATTATAAAATAAGCCAGTGGGTTTGTCTTGGTTCTAAACCTGGTCCTCCTTACCCCCAGTTGTGTGAGTGTCATGGATTGATTGTGTCCCCCTAGAATATGATTCAACTTGGCTAGTCCTTGATTCTCAGTGGTTTGGCTGTTATGTAATGATGTAATCATCCACTATTATGTGATCTGATGTGATCAGCCAATGAGTTTTAAGGCGATTAGGGTGGGATGCAACTCCTTTAATCAGGTCACAGCCTTGATCTGTATTAAGTGGAGTTCCCCTGGTTTGTGACCTGCATCACATTTTATCTTACAAGAGATAAGGAGAGAGAAAGGGAGCAGAGAGAGGGAATTCCTATCACCAAGAAAGAAGAGCCAAGAGCAGAGCACATCCTTTGAACCCAGGGCCCCTGTACTAAGAACCTCCAAGATGCTGGGGAAGATTGAATCAGCCCAGACATATGGAGATCTGGTCCCAGAGATGTAGAAAGATGAGAAAGGACCTTCTACCAGAGCCAGTAGAGAAACAAAGTCTTCCTCTAGAGCTGGTGGCTTGAAATGGGACTTCTAGCCTCCTAAACTTTGAGTAAATTTCCGTTTATTAAAGCAAACCAATTGTATTTTTGTTATAGCAGAGGTAGATATCTAAAACAATGAGCAACCTAATTTACCCTTGGAAATTAAGATTAATCACTTCAGGCAATAGAATGTCTCCCATTGTCTGCCTTCTGGTTCAGTAATATGAAGACTCCAGTAACAAAGAGCAGTCTCTGTTTCCAACTCATTAGGTCCTTGAGTGTTTTCAAGACCATAATGAAGGCACTCCTTCTTTGGACACTAGGAACTAACTCTAAATCAGCCAAACCCAAGAATGTAGACACGGGTAGCTAAAACTCTTCAGTGGCTTACAGCTATAATAATAAAATGAGCCATTCTATCTGTATCTCTGGGAGCTCTGGTAGCATATTGCCTAAGACATTTGACTGCTAACCAAAAGGCTGGTGGTTCAAACCTAGCATCCACTCCTTGGAGGGAAGATTGGGCAATCTACTTCTGTAGAGATACTGCCTCGGAAACCCAAGGAGGGGTTGCTGTGAGTCAGGAATGACCCGACGGTAGTGAGTTTTGTTTTTTGTTTTTCGTCTTTAGCTCTTGGTTTGCCAACCATTTCTTTCTGATTATTGTAGGGACAGCATCATACATCGATCACTATTTTAAAGCATATACTGCATTTAATGAGAGAGCACTCCAATCTCTCAGAGGTTGTCCCCTAGCGGGTGTTGTAACTAAGACTTCAGAACGCCATTCCACAATTTTATTAAGTCAGCTGCTTATGGATAATGATAAATGTGCTGAGACAAATAAATTCGGTGGGCTTGAGCCCATTACCACATTTTTCACCATACACTGTGCCTTCTGGCTGGGATTGATGTTGGGTGGGGTACATTTATCTATTGAAAGAATTCTATAAATCAGTGAATGGTGATGCTGAAAGTAACACTGTGAGTCTGTTCTTATGAGAACAAATCACTACTAACTCCTCAATGTTGGAAATGGTCCAGTGTAATCAACATACCACCAGAGGTCAACTCATTCCTTTGGTAAAGAGTGTTGTATCAAGGCTTAGTTGTATAAATGTAAACAATATTGTAATCACTACCACACATGATAGTAACTACCCAAAAAGTCCCTGATGCCCTATTTTAGTCAATGCCATCTCCCTGCTCCTAGCAACCATTCATCTACTTTTTGTCACTATATATTTACTTTTTCTAAAATTCTACATTAAAAAAATCAAATAGTAAGGGACCTTTTTGGTTTGGATTCACTTATATAGACTAATATTTTAAGACATATCTATGTACATACATCCATTGTATGTACCCATATGGGCCCGGGTGGTACAGTGGTTGAAGTGTCAGCTGAGAACTAAAAGGTCTGCTGTTCAAACCCACCAACTGCTGTGGGAGAAGGGTATGGAAGTCTGCTTCCATAAAAGGTTCACAGCCTTTGAACCCTATGGAGCAGTTCTGTTCTGTCCTGTAGGGTTGCTATGAATCAGAACCAACTCAACAGTAGTGGGTGGTATGTATCAATAGCATATTCCTTTTTATTACTGAGTAGTATTTCATGCATGATCCATGAGGAAATGGGAGGATTACATATAATCAAGAAAACAAGTAGAGAAGAGAGGCATCTCATTTTTTCTGCAAAAGAGAAACTGACAAATATGTAGGCATAAAACCAAACCAAACCCACTGCCATCAAGTCAGTTATGACTCATAGTGACCCCTATAGGGTTTCCAGTGCTGTAAGTCTTTATAGAAGTAGATTGCTTCATCTTCCTCCTGTGAAACAGCTGGTGGGTTTGAACCACAGTTAGCAGCCAAATGCCATATCCACTGTGCTACCAGAGGTTACATATAGGCATCGATGGATACATTATCAATATAAGGGTATAAAAGAAGTTATTTACATCTGACCATCCAATTTTCTTGATGAAGTGGAAGTTGTTGTTTTAGATGGAAGGGGAAAAAGAGTGAAACAGGGATGAATGGCAAAACTTTGGGACATCAGCTAGAAGAACAGGATATGACAAATTTATTGGTTTCCTGTTGCTATAAGAAATTTTATGGCTTAAACCAACAGATATTTATTATTTTACAATTCTAGAGATCAGAAGTCCAAAATCAGTTTCACAGGGCTAAAATCAAGGTATTAGTAGGCCTTCATGCCTTTCTGGAGGCTCTAAGGGAGAATTCCTTTCCCTGTCTTTTCCAGTTTCTACAGGCTGCCTATGTTCCGTGGCTCAAGACCCTTTCCTCCATCTTCAAAGCCAGTAGTGTACCATGTTCTTTGCTCCTGTCTCATCTCTGCTTCCATTTTTATACTTTTTCTCTCTTACTCTGATCCTTCTGCTTTCCTCTTATGAGGACTCTTGTGATTGTATTGGCACACAGGGATAATTCAGGATAATCTCCCTATGTAAAGTTCCTTAACTTAATCATACCTGCAAGGTAACTTTACCATGTGAGGTAACATATTCACAGTTCCTGGAGATGAGCAGTTGGACATCTTTGGGGAACACTATTCAGCCTACCACACTAAGGTCAAATAAAATAAATGTGGAGGAATGATTAAAACTTATTTAAAATTTATAATGGTACCAATCTGCTTAGTTGTGTGACTGCCATAATGCAACTAGAACCCCATAAGATGCCTTTTTATTTACAGTTTCTTGTGGTGATTTTTCAGAGTGGACTCTCATTCTGGAGCCCTTGCTATTTATTGGATACTTTGTAGGAGAGATTCAGTTTGCCCTGGTACCTTCATGCCAACCCTATGTAGGTAGGGTTGTCAACAGAGTTTGTGGAGAGGCCGTGCCTATCCTGTCAATTATCAATGAATTGTCAGGGATATGTTTATACAAAGCTGTATTGACCATGGCCCATGGCTGCTGCTTGCTGTGATTAAGAATTGGATTTTGTTCACTGGAAAAGTCATAAAGAGGGACTATTATGTTGGTTGAGTGACATGCAAGCTTGAAAAAAAGATAATTTCATTTAAACAAAATAAGATTACAGAAAAAAATCTGGAAAACAATTTCCTGTAACCTGTCCACTTATATAATATGACTGGGGCATCCTGTATATCCCTTCTGTCCAGGAACTCTCATTCTAAGTAAAATGAGATTGAGGCAGTTGTCAGTGTAGAGTCATTTTTCTCCAGACATGGCACAAACTGATTACGGTAGCAAAGAAAGAACTCATTAATAGCTGGCATTCTAAACATTTTTACTTAATAAATCTCTGGAGACTTTAAGTATCTTTATTACCTCTCTTACTGGAATGTAAATTCTTTGGCTCACTAATGTGTCTTCAGGGCCTGGAACAGAGCCTCACACATGCTGAATAAGTATGTGTTGAAATAATGATTTAATGAATGGAAAAAAAAAAAACCTACTCTTTTTTTCAATCATTATTTTAATTACCTTGTAAACAAAGGGACCTTGGAAATTTGCAGTTAAAACATTTGGATAAATAAAAGAATATAAAGCAGAAGATTACAAAATGAAAAATATGAAGAAGTTCAAGAAAGTTTAAAATAAAATAAATTAAATGTAGTGATGTTATCAACCTTCAGTTAAATTCCTATTCTGAAAACTAGCAGCATGCTGGGAATCACTGATACCACAGTCTCACAGAATACTGAGCCTACTACAGTTCTTTCTTTTATCACTTATGTTCTTTTATTCAGAAGCTAATCCCAGTGTGAAGCCCAAAATCCCAGCACGTATACTGTGGCTCTTGGAAAAAGTAGAGATCAAAACCCCATTTTGGAATTAATTTTTCTTTCCTTTTGTCCTTGCATTCTGCTGCTTCCATTTCTATTAAGTCGGCCTTAGTTTCTGAAGGCCCACGTCCTGTGGATGACCCGTTTCAGTGCAGCCTTTACTTCACTGTTCCTTAAGCTGTAGATGATGGGGTTTAACATGGGAGTCACCACTGTATAGAAGAGTGAGAGGACTTTCTTGTTCTCAGGAGAGGTGCTAGACCGTGGCCGGAAGTATGTGAGGATGGCAGTGCTGTAGAAGAGGGAAACAACCAGGAGGTGGGAGGAGCATGTGGAGAAGGCTTTGTGTTTCCCTTCTTCTGATGGCATCCTGAAGATAGTAGAGAGGATACGGACATAGGACCCCAGGATCAGCAAGAAAGGGAAGAGGATGAATAATACAGTAGCTGTCAGAGCCTCCAGTTCAAACAGAGAGGTGTCAGCACACACCAGGGCAATGACAGGGGGGCTGTCACAGAAGAAGTGGTTCACCCTGTTGGGGCCACAAAATGGGAAGCTGAAAATCCATGTGGTTTGTACAGTGGCCACTGGAAAACCTGAGAACCAAGAGGCAGCTGCCAACTGGGCACAGGCACTGTAACCCATGATGACTGGGTAGCGCAGAGGATCACAGATAGCCACATAGCGGTCATATGCCATTGTGGCCAGGAGGCAGCACTCTGCAGCCCCAAAGAAGAAGAAGAAATACATCTGAGTGGCACAGCCAAGAAAGGAGATGGTTGTGTCTTGCATGATCAGGGTCCCCAGCATCTTGGGCACAATGACCAAGTTGAAACCTATCTCTAGGAAAGACAAGTTTCTGAGGAAGAAGTACATAGGACTTTGTAGGGCAGAGTCAACAGTAGTGACCAAGATAATGAGGACATTCCCCATTAGAGTAATCAGATAAATGACCAAAAAAAGGAGAAAGAGTAAAGCCTGTAGCTCAGAGGAGAGAGCTGAAAAGCTCACAAGGACAAACTCATTGACAGTTGTCCAGTTTCCCCACATCATTCTTCTGCCCAAGATTTCATTGGGCATTCAAATCCCAGGTGTTTCAGTATGTTATTTAGACCTCTAATATACCCTTAGAAAGGGAGCCTCCAGCGGCCTCAATCTCTACCTTTCTTGTTCTACTTGCTGAAGATCAAACATCTGTACTCTCCAAAATGTGAAAAACAAACCTGAGGATTGGATTCACGATTCACAATTGGGAGAAGAATACTATTCTATACTATACTAGTACTATACTATACTAATACTATACTGTACTATAATACTGCACTATACTATAATACGGGGAACTCTGGTAGCATAGTGGCTGAGGCACTTGACTGCTAACCAGAAGGCTGGCAGTTCAAACTCACCAGCCACTCCTCAGAAGGAAGATGGGGCAATCTACTTCGGTAGTGATACTGCCTTGGAAACCCAAGGAGGGGTCGCTATGAGTCGGGTCCAACTCGACAACACATAACAACAACAACATACAATAATACTACTATACTATAATACTACATCCTCTCTCTCTCTCTCTCTCTCTCTCTCTCTCACACACACACACACATATATATGCAGACTGATTTTCTCTGTTCTATTGAAAATGGTCAATGTCACAGCTTCACTTTTGTGCTCCTACCCTCTTTCTCTTCAACTATTAGTGGTGCTAAAAAAGAGAAACCAGACTCAAGCATTTCTGGATGCACAATCAAAACTGATGAGGTCAGGGAGTAAGGAGAGAGTCAAGGAAGGTTAACCAACAATTACCAAATAATCCTTGAAGAGGAGACCTGAATATGTCTCAATTTTTAGAAGTCCACATTTAGGAAGAATTCAGTACATTGGAGGAATCACCATTTCTAAACTCAGAAAATTGTAAGCTAAACAGAAAGATAAATAACATAGAAACTGGGGTTATCCTGATCTCAGGGCCACAGATTCTCCATGTTGCTGAATGTGATCAGGCAAAGGAAACACAGACTTAAGATAATGTCAGAACCATGGAGGAATCTGATGTGTTTAGCATAAATCTTTTAATCACCTTCCCTTGATTGGCTTGTGTAGGACATACTCTTGACTCTTCAGATTTCTGAAGCTCAGGGTTTACAGGTTAATAAAATCCAACTGAAATATGTAGGTGTTACTAGCAAGATTCAGTCCTGTGAAAAAGAAACAGAAAGTTACATCATTGCATTAATAACTAAGCTTCAAAATTGGCCCCTGGAGGAATGAAGGAATAAATCTAAAGCTCTTCCATGGTGTCTACACATTGTAAGTGCTCAATAAATAATATACAGTATTACACTAGACCTAACTTCCTCTAAAAACTACTTATTGCCTACATCATTGTCCAAAGTCACTGTAGAACCTGCTATTCAACCCCTAAGGCAAAGTAATCATTTATTAAAAAAAATAAATGTCAATTGTCTACCACATTCAGGCTCTGTTTTAGATAATGGGGATGACACATCCATAAACAAAACAAACAAAAATCTCTATCCTCATAGAACTCATCTTCCAGTAGGAAAGAGAAATAATAAACAAATTACTGACGTAGAATGTATAGTAAGTTAGATGGCATTCAAGCAATGGAGAAGAAAGCAGTGGAGGAGATAGGGATTTGGGGTTTGAGAAATGGCAGGGAAGAATCCCCTGAGAAGATGATATTTGAGTGAAGTCCTAAGCAAGTTTGAGGTGAAGTCAGGGTGATGAAGGAAAGAAGGAGGTAAAGAGCAAAAAAAGTGAGTAAATGCTATTTGGAAAAATTTGTTGACTCATTCATTTTTAGAAACTCAACCAGGCATCACTTCTATGAAAGTTTTTTTTTTTTTTTAATATCTATTTTCATAGTAAACATTAATATTTACTAAGCTATATTAAGTGGTGCATGCATTACCTTAATTCTCACAATGTCAGGAAGATACAAGTACTATTGTTAGGTTCTGTAGAGCTGAAGAATCTGTAAAATGATTAATTTTTCTGATGTTGGGCAGCTAGCAAGTGGTGGCATCCAGGATATGCATCCTGGGTAGTCTGACTCCAAGATGTGGATTTAACGATCAGGCAATACTTTCACTCATTCTCTCAAAATGGGAATGAGTTTGAGCTACAGTTGAGGGTTAGCAGAAGTATCTAGAATAGAGTAGGTAATAAGAGAACAAAAAACAAGACAGTTCCTAAAGATGAACAGGAAATTCCTATGTATTATCAATTTTGGAGACCTGTTTTACCACTTTCATTGTTCTTATCTTACAATAATCACAAATTTATATCTCTCTCAATTCTTGGAGCCCTGGTGGCATAGTGGTTAAAGTCTTGGCTGCTGGCAGGAGGATCAAAGATAGCAGACTAGGCAGATGCACCATCCACACCCTTTACAACAAAGACTTGATCAACTAAGTGAAGTGGATATAGGTATCAATCTTGGAATCCAGAGCTTCAGAGGAAAGGATAAAGAAGTAGATCCAATACAGATATGAGGAAGAGACTAAATGAAAACAGAGAAAAAGAAGACATGTGGAGCAACCAACTGCCAGCCAGCACAGCATGGCCCTTCTGAATTATTCCAGTGGTGTTCTGATTGGAGCAGGAATGAGATAACCAGCTCCACTAGCACCAAGATGGCACTGGCACCTGCATCTCTATCATCAGAGAGGTATGATATTAGCCATTACCTTGCACAACCTCCTGATAACCAGAGGAGTGCCCCCACCCCAATCTGGAGCAAGTTAAAGTCTCCCCCCAGCCCCCACCATTACTGTGCACCTCTTTTTTCCTTTTTTAAAAAAATCTTAGTTCTTCTCTCTTTCCCCTACTTTTATTTCTTTATTTTCTCCTTCCTCTCCTCTTGACTTTTTTTTCCCCTGTGGCACAGAAATGCTGTCCCTCACTATCTCTGTGGTTAGTGGTACCCACCAACATCCCTCCCCAGTCTATGGTGCATGCTCCATGGAGTGAGTGCTGTGTTCCACCACAGTTGTGATTGGCAGCTAGTACTTTCACCAGTACTGTGCTGATTTCTTTTCCTGGTTTTGTCCTTCTTCTTAGTTCTTTCCCTTGTTATCTTCTTCCTCTCCCCTTTTTTTCTTTCTCTTTGATCCTGTGGTCTGCCGTCCCCTGACTTTTCAGTCAAAAGCATCCACCCCTGACTCTCCATAGATGGTGTTGTACACTGCTGCAGAGTGAGCACCACATGACCACTGCAGCTGTGTTTGACCATTAACACTGTGCCAATACTGTGCCACTTTTTTTTCCTTTGCTTCTCATTTTCTGTTTTTTTCCTTAGTTTCTTTTTTTCTTATTTTTATTTTTATTTATTCTTTTTTTCATTTTTCTTATATTTTAACTCTCCAACCACCTTATTTTTTCTCTTTCTTTTCCTTTTATTTTCTCTTCCCTTCTTTCAATTTTTCCCCAGCAGTCAGGAACCAATGACCTTACTCAGCCATATCCACCACACCTGTTGCTCCACTGTGGTCATTAAGGTTATGTGTCAGTTTGGCTGGGCCTGAGTTTGAGTGGCTAGGCAGCTGGTTGTAGGTATTCCCCATGATGAGACTGGTAATCAACTCTATGGTGGAATCTACTGGAGCAGCTGAGTAGCTGCCTTAGGGATGTGGTCTGCTTCCATTATATAAAAAGTTTTAAGAAAGATCTCTGTAGCTTTTGGCATGCTTGAATCCTGCATATGTCGTCAAGCTGTCATTCAGCAGCCTGTCATGTTGTCTGTTATCTTGGGACTTTTAATGGACTTGAGTCAGTGGCATGCCATGTGGTTTGGTAATATTGGGACTGTGCCTTTTTACTTGTTGACCTTGGGTTTGGAAGCCTCAGCAGCTAGCAGCTGCCCAAGTGAAGAAAGCCTCCAGCTTCAGTGGGCTGGGAGCAAGAGGCAGAGCTGAGGCCCAAGGTCAAGGGGCTTTTATGTAGCTCCTAGAGCCTGGCACTTTGAACTTGGACTTCTAGCCTCCAAAACTGTAAGAAAATAAACTCCTGTTTGTGAAAGCCATCCACCTGTGGTATTTCTGTTAGAGCAGCACTAAGTTAGAGCACCAAAACACTCACCCACTGTGTGAATGCCACACCCTGCTATAACACCACTCTATTAATCACAGATGGCATCCCAAACCCACCCAGCTTTCCCCCAGCTGCTCAGCATGACCAGTGATCAAAGACTTGTGCCTACACTCCCAACTGCTACCAAGTCCATCTGGAAATAGGTGGTTTGTACCCAGTGCTGCCAGACTAGCGACTAGAGTAGGACACCTTCCCCTTTGCCCAAATATATTAAAACAAAATAAAAATCAGGGAGAAGCAAACCAACATACACTCAACAAACTTATGCAATGACACCACAGTGTCTCAGAGACAACTGACAACTTCAAATCACACACACACACAAACGGACAAGATGGCTCAAACAATTGACCAAAACACAGGACCAGAAAATCTTCCAGAAGAAATAATGCTATTGGAACTAACTGATAATGAATTCAAAATGCTTGTATTTAGGTACCATCAAAAGATTGAGAGACAGATCAAACTATTCCAGAATACACAAAAGGATGAAATACTTCCAAGCTCATTCTATGTATGAAGGAAACATAATCCTGATGCCAAAACCAGGCAAAAGCACCAATAAAAAGTAAAATTATAGACCAATATCCTTCACAAACATAGACACAAAAATTCT